ATCTTGTATATAAATTTTCAGATTTGGTTTTGAATTAAAAAGCCCCAAATTGAAAACCTAGGTTTTAAAATTAATGTTTAAAGATGGAATTTGATTGTGGTTGATTAAAACTATTGAAATTAATGTTTTTAAACTAAATAACAACAATTTTATAAGTTTTAATAATGCTGGAATTTTTATATATAAGTTATAATTATGTTTCTTGAAAGGATTTTTAATTACCCATTAATTAGGGATAAAAGTAAGAGTTTTAAATAAAATTAAAATTCCAGCTTGTTTAAGAGGGTTTATGAGTGATTTAAAGAGTGCATATATTGCTGAAAATTTGTGTGGAAGATGTATTAATACTTCTCTATAATTTTGGTTTGTAGGAGACTTTCAAGTGAGTGATTTTAATTAGTCGTGGTGATTTTGAGATCATATTCAATGTACGTTCGCGTACTTAGTAATTATTTGAATATGTAGAAGCATGCTAGGCCTTGCTTAATTAATTACAAGTAGTATCATGATAGGTGATGGTTGGAATTTGTTGATTGGATTGAAGTTGGTAAATAATTTGTGATGTGTGAATTATTTATGGTGATTTGGTGATTGGAATTAATTACGTTGGCATGTTGGTTATGAACTACACTTTTATTATTGGCATGTTAAAGAGCATGTTTAATTAAACTAAATGTTTAATTTGGTTTGGAATATGAAAAGGAAATTTTATTATGGTTCATATAATTTTTATGGATGCTTTAAGCATGGGAATTGAGCTATCAAGTGTCTTAGGAATAAATTTTATTGCGGTGCTTATGTGCACGTAAGGTGTTTCTAATACCGAGGGATAGGATTTGCGGCGCATTATGCGTTTAAGGTATCTTTGACACTGAGGCAGACTAAAAAGGGTTCAACAATTAAATTTATGTGGTCACTAACTATTCAAGAATTAAATTGGTATGTTTGATTGCTTGAATAATTTATTATGTTTGATTGTGCTGTGGTTTGAGAGTCATCATCAAGTATAATAATATGTAAACAACGTAAAGTGAAAGAGATTACACACCAAAACTCTTGGAACGTATATACCTTGAGTATGAACATATGGGGGGAGTTATGGGGTTTTATATTTAACCATGACTTCTACTGGGAGTACAGGACGCTGTATTTTCCTTTTTATTTATCTTATGCGCAGGACGTCCAGTCACTTCATGTGACATTTGCCTACTCGGTTAGCTCTCGGTGTAGTTTACCTCAATTTATTTGAGGTAGGGATTTGGTTGGAAACCCGTTCGATGTGTAATCAAAATTAAATTAACATTGGTATTTGTCTAGTTAGGTGTTGAATGTTTTGTATGCTTGTAAACAGGTGCAACACGGTAAGTTGTGTGATGGTAGGATGAAAGCATGTTAGTGTGTTTTATTACGCTTATGTACTCAACATTGCTGATTATGTGTTTGTATGTTTGTTTGGCCTCGTCTTTACCTTGACCCTATGACGACCCATATCTAATGGCGAGTAGTGGGGACAAGTAGAGAGAAGTTTTTCAGGTGATGAAGCATTTTCATGAAGGGCATGAGTGAAGAGCGAATCATGCTTAGTTCTCATAGGAATATGCATATGATGTGTTTTATTTGCTTTGAATATTATTTATTTTATTCTTCTCATGAGACTAATGCAAAGGGTTTTAATATCGTTTGGTTTTAAGGGCCTACAATGGTTTTGAGTTGTAGGTTGACTTTGTTTGACTTACTTTCGTTTGGTTTGACTTTCAAAGTAGACTTGTTTAAAATGGTTTTTTTTTTAAAGATAGTCTTCTGCTGTGTGTGAGTCTTTGATATTTGCCTTAGCCATTTTCACGGTGGCGGTAATGTCTTAAATTTTCCTATTTCGTATTTTTAAAAGGGGAAAAATAGGTATTTTAAAGGAAATGAATTTCTAGGGTGTTACACGATAGGTTTGTAGTTCTTTCTTTTTCATCATGATAAGGGGAAAAGAAAACTCAATCTCTCTAATAATTAGGTTAACTAAAATACTTTTTGGGCGAAAGTGGTCTAAAAGGGGATTTGGAGTATATACCCTATCTACTGATGGGCATAAAATGACTTTGTAGTCTTCAGCAACTCCCATTTTTGTAGTTGACCAGTAGGAACTAAGAGAGACAGTTGGTGGTTGGGATTGAAAAAGGAAAGGGTAGTGAGTAAGATTCGTGGTGGGGATTTGAAGTGGTATAACAGGGGATAAACATAATCACTAAGAGAATAAAGGGGTACAGTAGGCGTGTTCGACCTGGAGTTCAAATAAATGCAGGTGGTTGGTCCGCTCAAAAGAGGAAAATTAAAGAACTTCAAAGTTGAAGAGGGAGTGCAATGAATGTTCAGATATAATTAAAAACTTAAATAAGGAGAAATTGAAAACTCCAGCTTGGACAAACTTTGCCTCTCGAAAAAGCTTATATGGCAACACCCCTTCCACCAGCTCATTATAGTCAAAGCAAGTCAAATTATCTAGATTAGAAGTAATTGTAGGCCTATGCGAGAGTAATAAATCGGCAGTTAGGAGATTAAAAGGTGGAATAGTACTTGAATCAGAAGGGAAATGAGAGAAATAAGCCAGATTATGGACCCGCTTCTCCTTATTTTGTCCAACGGCGTTATCTTTCCAGGACCCCGTGGACTCAGAGGCTGTAACGCCTTGTTCCCTGTTCTCAACAACCTGGTTATTGTCCCCTGAACTTTCTCCGTTAGGCCTTTCTCGCGCATCGTTACACGGAGACTTACTCTGAGAGGAGCTTGGACTGTTGGAAAACTTCGCTTCTCGAAGCCGTTTTCTTTCCCTCTGGCTTTTCGTAGTAGTAGGGGGGCTTGTTCGTGTACACCAAGTTGTAGCATACCACCGCTTACGCTTCGGAGACTTCAGGGCTGGTTGCATAATGGATTTCCATAACTCTCCCTTATTTAGTGATGATTGTAAAGCCGGAATAATGATTGGGGGCAAGTTCTGTAGGCCACGTCGACTTCTTATCGACTCTCTACCTGCTGTGGAAACCTTTGTGCTGCTTGCTATATGAGCATATCCTCCCAAAGTTCCAGTGTTAGCCTTCCCAATATCACATTTGATTTTCTTCGATTGACCTTCCTCTGTTTCAAACTTGGCGTTTTGTGAAGTCAATTCCACTAAGATTATTTTTGGGACTCTGTTGCTTGACCCCGAATTTCCAGAGTTCCCCAAGTTGTCCGATGATGAAGAGGAGGAGTCATTGTTATCTTGACCATTATCTGGCCCATTTCCGAAATCTCCTCCCTCCTCCGACTGGATTCCTAATGATGGATTAGGAGGAGTATGTTCAGATGATGATGCTGTAGAGCTTGGGTGTGGAAAAATCTTCAAATTCACTCTTGTGGTTCTGAAACGCTCAATGTCCTCTAATCCCATAACTTTCTTCGAAAACAGAGGAGTCGGAGGCATGGTCACTAGTAGATCAAAACTTGAGCCACATAGCCCTCTTATGAAATAATTTAGTTCCTTATGGGCTAAGCTAACCGAAGTCCTGCACATTGGCTGTCTATGCCCTATCTATCCACTCCCATGATAAAATGTGAAAACACCTTTGTATCTTAGCCACACCCAAAGCGCTTTATTCGGCGTGACCTCATAGAAGAAGCCTGGGATCAAAGGTTTTCTTACAGAAATGTAAACCTTAGCCCTCATTACACTATAAGGCCTGTCATCTAGCGAGGACTGATCAATTCTTATGATTCTCCCAACTCTTTCCAAAATCCTTCTCGCAACTTGTGGCTAGCATTCTTCAGTTGGAATGCCATCAACTCTTACCCACATGGACGCTTCAGAGAAGTCCATTTCCAATACTTTGGATCCCGACATCCAAGCTTTGAAGATGATGAAAGCTCCCTTGTAGGAAGCCGATCCCATCAACATCAGATTATTTATTCTATCCTCTCAACAAGTGCAAAAGAAGAAGAAAAGGTCTTTGGAGTGACTTACTTTCTGGACAATAATAGCTCTGTTTGTTTTCTAGACATTATCAACCCAATTTTATATTTAAATTTCAGTAAACTCTTGTTAGGGAAATTGACTACCGGGTCACAAAAATCGCAACGAACTTGAACAAATTTACACTTCGAGGCCTGAACAAGATCACTTTCCCCAAGTCGACCCTGATTAAACACACCGAGTATCACGAAATTACTAGGAGATACAACGAAGACAACCACAATAGTGTGTAGTATATTTGTGGTCAAATGTAAAACAAAAAATCAGAATTTATGATGATGATAAATAAGACTTGCAAAAGGTTTCAAGAGAAAAAGAAATGATCTGAATTTTCTTGAAGATCAATCATCATACGTTCTTAGAACATATATATATTAAAGCAATTACAAAACCAAACCACCCCAAGAAACTAACGAAAAACCGTCAATTACAAAACAGAAAGGACACGCGCCTTGCCGAGCGGCAGCTGCCCTACCGGGCAGATATGGGTCCCAAAATCTGGAAGGTCTCGTGCCCGGTCGGGCGGCGATGGCCCTGTCGGGCAGTGAAGCCCTTAATTTCAAATTTCTTCTCGCGCCTTGTAGGGCGGAGAAGGCCTTGCCAGAAGATAAACCCAACAAATCTCTTCTTCCTTCTCGCGCCCGTTCGGGCGGTGGTGGCCCTGACCGGGCGTGTACCTACGTCATAAACCCACGCGCGCCCGGTCGGGCGAGCACCACCCTGATCGGGCGGCAGACCGGGCAGCGTTGATATCACTTCACTGAACTTTGCTTTCTCTTCAATGAAGCACATTCAACCTCTTTACCAAGGTTAATTGCTTTAATTAACTATTTAATATATATATACAACACCTTAGCCTAAGTATTACACATAAATAACATGAAATTAGTCTACCATTCTCTAAATTATTCAACAACTCTCTCACGTCTAGTACCGTAGCTACAATTGCAAAGCTGAATTTATCCACATCTACTGGGGTATCACATGAGAGTTTAGGGATGCCAGTACCCATTCTGGATAAATTATTCGGGTGATTTGATGGATTCATATCTAGAAGGATCGAATAGAAAGAATGGAGAGGATATGGAGAGATGAAGAGGAAGACACAAGATAGAAGGAAAAGTACTGCTTCTCTAGTTAAGCGACTAGAGATAAAAAAATTTGCAACTACTATTGCAACTAACACGGTAGTCCCTAAAAATACCCTTAGTATTGCCGCCAAAAAACACAAGAACCCAATTATCAGGTCTATCACTCCTTGTCCACGTACTGTGTCAGTACATACTCTTCTTCCTCAAAAAAATTAAAAAAAAAAAATTAAAAAAATAAAAACGAAGGCCAAGTTCAGAACTTCAGATGAAACCCGTCGCCGTCGTCTTCATCTGCCGCCGCTGCGCCACCACATCTCCTCCCAGGTTAGCTACGCATTCTTCCCCTTCCTATCGTCCATTCCATCTTTCTCATATTGCAATTTGCTAATTGCGATTTTAGGGTTATCATTGAGTTTTTTGTCCAATTTTATTTTATTTTAATCTGATTATTGATTGAATTGCGAATTGATTGAATTGATTTTCATCTGGTTTCCATTGCGAATTGCAAATTGATTGAATTGATTTTAATCTGGCTGCCAATTGCGAATTTTAGGGTTATCATTGAAGTCAATCAATGTAAAACCATTCAAAATTGATTTATTATGCAAAAAGCCTAATTATTTTTAATGTCTTTATGATTTACTATATACTTTGCTTTTAAACTGTCAGCTGCGTTGCAAATTAGGCAATATAGGTAATTAATGTAGTTTTTTTCATCTACAATTCAAGAGATTTAATCTGTATTGCTATTTCTTTTACTATATTTTACCATGTTGTTTGATTATTTTCTGTTGACATACGGTGACACAAATGTGTATACATGATTGAAAATCCCTCCATTTAAATTAGATTGCCCCAACTATTGAGTAGTGGGAAGGATTGTGGACTAGTGGTTGTTGAGATTTACTGCCACTCCAATGCATTTACTCTATGCAGAACTGAATGATGCCAGAATTAATTGTTCATAACTATATTAGTTATACCCACGCTTAATGCAGGATGATTTTCAGTATCAGCTTCTTGTGGCTCTTCATTATCTGTGATTAAAACTAAACTTTTGTCTTGCTGCACCAAAGCAAGTATCCTACTTCTTAAAGGAAAGAGTTGACTGTAATTATGCTGATGTGTAGCTGTCAACATGTTTCACTGCTAGGGAAAGAAGAGCTAGTTACTTGAGTTAAAATTCCTAGAAAATCATCTTCAGTCACTATCTCTTAGGTTTCTCATTAGAACTTCAGCTCCTACGCTTTGGAGTTAAGGATTTTATTAGTTTTTTTCATATACAATCGATATGTTACTTGTGCTAGCAAAGAGTGAAAGAAACGGAGCTGCCCATCAAGGGGTGCCCCTGGTGGGTTAATGAATAGACTTGAAAATAAGATGAGATAATGTGCTTTGTTTGTTTCATGATAAAAAGTTGCTGATTTATAATATTTTTTTGCACATTGAACAAGGGACTTGTTTTAAGGAAATTTTGTGGTTCTCAGTAAAGTTTTTGTGTTTACTACTTTTCCTCCTGTATCGCTCATGTTTCTTTGCTGCTGGTTGGTTGTCATGACAATGGTTGTGGGTGGTTGCTTGAGTGATGTGATCTTAGTTAATTGAATTGTGGGGCGGCAAGTTAGGGGCTAGAATAACTGTAGGTTAATTGAGTGGGGAAGTATTTTCTTTCTTTGTTGCTGAATTGTGAAAAATCTGTTTGGATGCAGCTTGTCATGACCTTCCCCAAGTATTATCTGTATAGCTTTTCATGATCTGGTTATGTCTGCTTCCCTGTTTCTGCATTTAGTGGTATATTGTAGATTAGTGAGGCGTATTCTAATTACAGATAGCCTGGCATCTAAATAAGTATAGAAGATAGTTCGTAAGTCTTATCAAATTATAAGTTATTGTACTTTCTGGTAAGTTGATTGTGGCTTTTCAGTATTTTGACCCGAATTATTATTTTGGCAAGTATGTCAACGAATAGGATAATGTTTCCAACCATTTAAAACTCTACCAGAAAGTTATTGAAATTATGATTAAGTTAAGCTTATGTTGTTTTATAGTCCTCTTAAACATTTAAAGAAACACTAGATCGACTATCTATCTGTAGCCCATAATTGTGTACTAATTTAATTACATATATAATAAGAATAAATTACATATATAAGAACACTATATTACATATGGGTGTATGATTAACGGTGTCGTTTCATAGTTAGGATCATGGAGAAATTGAATCGAAAATGGATGTATGAGAGATTGGAAGTCGACTATCTACCATTTTTTTTGTGATTGATATTGGTCGTCACTAAATTATAGTCTCCAAATAGTGATAGTCAGTCGCAAAAATTTAGCGACTGCATATTTGTTTTAGAGACTATTGGTTAGCTGCAAAATAATTAGTCTCAATAGTCGCTAATCTGTCGTAAAAAGTTAGTTTTGTAGTCGCAAAAGTTTGGTCTCATATGTAGTTGCTAATCCGTCGCGAAAAAAAATTAGTCTCAATAGTCGCAAATCCGTCGCAATAAAAATAGTCTCCGTTGTCGCAAAAGTTTGGTCTCGTAGTTGCAAAAGTTTGGTCTTGTAGTCGTTAATCCGTCGCAAAAGTAGTCTTAAAACATTGGCCTCCGTATTTGCTAATCTGTCGCAAATATTTTACGACGGACAATGATTTAGTTGCTAAAATTTGAAAGTTAGTCCTTAAGTCTCTAAATGGCAGTTGCAAAGGCGTCAAAAAATTTGCGACTGTTCAAAAATTAGTCGCAAAAATGGATTTGCGACTAGGTCTTTGGCAACTAACCAAAGTAGTTGCAAATCCGTCGCAAATCCATTTTTGCGACGGATTTGCGACTACTTTGGCCGTCACTAATTACCCTTTTTTCTTGTAGATCTAACTAGTTGGTTTCGAACTTGAGTATTTTCAAGATCCCTTATCAACTGTTCGTTCAGTCGGTGATGTTTCTCTACTAACAGTTTTAATCACCAAACAACTTATGTTGCAAGGCCGCATTTTAACAAAGTCGTAGTAGTGGCACTTGAAGTGTTATCTATGTCCAGAATGACACGGGGGTTGGGAGGGGCAGGCCGTTTTCAGGGGTAAAGGGAGGTGGCTGGTCGGTTTCCGGTGGGCTGGGGGTTGGAGCTAGGGATTCACGATGGGGGAAGGCTAGGGGAGGTGGTGTTTGCTGTTAGGGTTCTTTTTTTTTTTATTAAATAAAAATTTGGACCAATCACGTGTCATGGTTACCTTGTATAACAGGTCGTTGACTCAGTGTTGACCGGTTGGGCCCACCGGAGATAAACTCATATCAAAGGTGAAACTATTAAATAATAATCAAAAGTTGAGACTATTTAAAGTAAATTGGCCAAAGTAGGGTTTTATTAAAGTGAATTTTTCCTTATAAAAAATAAACCAAAATCCGCAATTTGTTCGCTTTCAAATTCTTCAAATCTGGGTTGCTGAAGAACAGAACAGCAGTTGCAGCTCGTTTAACCAGAAGAATTCCATAATATTTGTATAATTCTCTGTCTAAATTATTTGTAATTGATTTCAAAATATAATTTGAATATTAAATTTGGTGGCATTCCTATGTTTGACTCCCGTCTCATTAATTCATACTTTGCTTTTCATCTGAAGTTTTATGTAAATTCAACTTTAATAATCCTCATAATGTTTTTTTTTTTTTTTTTTTTTTTTTTTTTTTTTTTTTTTTGTGTGGCAGAAATCTACTTCATTGATGTATGAATAATATGATGTGTAAATGTATTGATGAATTAATTTTTGGTCGTGGGTTATAGTCTTAGTATAATAACACTTAATCTCATAATTAGTTAGATTTGTTGAGTTATTGAATGTTTAATCACTTATTTTGTTGTTCTAATTTGTTAATTATCGAGTAAAATAGGAGTCCTAGATTTGTAGTAATTTGTTTGTGAATATGGTGAATTGATTGCTCTAATTGTTGTACTAATAATGGACATAGTGGTAATTTTTTGTGCTAATCGATTGATTTATGTTGGTGTTGTATGAATTAGGCTCTTATCAAACGTATACATTCCATCATAATTTTAGAAAATGAAATCAATAGCATATTGCCCAATAGCATGGGAGATGGACTATTATATGATACTCTATATATATATATATAGGGTCAAATGAGAAGGACCTTATAATGAGAAGGATGAGAAGTAATCTAGTGCGTTCAAATAGAATGATCTAATGGCCATCATTATATAGTTCATTAATGGCAAATCTGTAAATAATATAAAAACTTATTTTCCCCAATTACCTTTCTCTTTTCCATGTTCCTCTCCATCTATTTTCTCCATCTTCATCACTCTTTTGATCTTCTCCACCTTTTTTTTTTTTTTTTTTTTTTTTTTTTTCAAAAGATCCAATAATATTTGAAATTTTCCCCTATTTATCTCTCTTTTCTCCCTGATCATCTTTTTTCCCCACCTTTTCTCTCTCTCTCCCCTCCATGATCATCTCTTTTCCCAACCTTTTTCTCTCAGATTAAAAAATAAAAATAAAATACATGACTGCAATTTGTGAGTCGTGGACGATAACAGGAATTCAAGAGATTGGAGCAAGAGTGAAATTTAAATATGCATAATTTTTAAACTGAACATGCATTATTCTTGTAAAGATTGTGCATATATTGCTAATGATCTGTGCATATTTATTGAGTTAATGTGCAAATTTTTTGTACTAAAGGTGCATATCTTTTAAATTAAATGTGCATATTGTTGAATGTTCTCTTGACGATTCTATTTATAATCTAAATTTTGGCCGATTAATCCTTATTATTGGAGTTGCAAGTCTTTCATGACCACAATTACTTTCTCGATCGTCTCTATAATTAAAAGTTAGAACTCTAGATACGTTTTAATGGAGAAAAGAAAAATATTTCATCAACGACAAACAATGGGGGAAATAAAAGTAAAAAATAAATGTGCATAATGTTTGAGTTAAACGTGCATATTTTATTTAAATGTGCATAATTTTTAGGAGAGAGAAAGAGAGATAAAAGAATGAGTAAGAATCCATGTAAGAAGCTGTCATCGAGAAGGAGAAAAGGTGAAATGCAAAAACTGGTTAATAAATGTGCATAATTTTCAAACTAAATGTGCAGATTTTTTGTACTAAATGTGCATAATATTACTCTGATGAAATTTGATGGTTGGATATATTTGTATGTTCAAGATTCTTTCTCATCCTTCTCATTAGATCTCAACGGTCCAAAAAGGAGGCTAGCTCCTAACTGACTACAAAGAGAATGTTTAAACCTCTTAACCATACTAATACAAGAACTAAAGCGGGGATTGTGGATACAAATGTTGAGAACTGCTTGACAATTTAAATAAGGGGGCTGAGAAAATCCATCGCCGGCACTAGCGATAAGATGTTCCAAGCTTGATCCCTTGCGTTTAGTGTATTAATTATCTTTCTTTAACGTCATTATATGGTTTGCTTCCCCTCTTCCTAAATCTTCATTGATTGTCAGTATGGTTAATTTATGGTCAATTTATGGTCCTTTTAAGGTGGATTTTTGAACTATTGGCTGTAAACTTGTAATTACTGAAGTTATGAATGATTGTATCAAGCAATTATGTTGCTAGAATTTTGCAATTTGCACTTTATGTTGGTGTTCTTAAGCAAGAAGAATTTTATGTGATTTTTTTGTGCACCTTATGTGATTTTCGAGCCTACTTTGACCATAAAGTCAAATTTGGTTGCTAATGTGTTTAAGGCTTTTGTTTACATGTTTATAACCTTTATGTTAGGATTGAACTATGATATGGATTATGGATCATTTCTCCTTGGCCCTGGATGGCTGTCCCTTTTCCAATATATGGGACAGGCCTGGTGGCATAATGTTGTGCTGAACATGTTTTGCTGAAGAGTAATTTTTTTGGTCAGTATTCTGCAAAGAGTTTATCCTTACCATGCTTTATCTCTTCAGTTACTGCAATTTGAAGTGTAAGCTAATTGATTGATAACAAAGCCTTTAAATGAATTATTTACTAAATATAATAGTGAAGTTGCTGAAGTCTAACCCGGGTTATCATTTGAGGCATTCATGTATTGTTAGACTTGATGCATGAATTTTTATATAGGTCTTCTTTCTTATATTAAGTAGTTAATATGCATTTGCTTTGCTTGAATGCTTGATTGCCTGTCATTGTGAAGCATTATGCTGTTGCTGACCTTCATGTTACTCAATAAGAGATTTCTCCATTTACAGCTAGATTGACTTGGATGTGAGTTCAAGATTGTGATCATAGAGTTAACGTTACAAAAGAAAATGTGGATGCACATGACTGAATTCTTATTCTGAATAGAAATGGGTCCACGGTGGAAAGGAAAAGATGCAGAAGCAAAAGCTTTTGCAGAACCAATGTCGGGAATAGTTTATGCACTTCAATCATCTCTACACACATCAGAATGCAAGGGATCGATATCTGGATGTAGGGTGCTTTTTGAAGCAAATACAGAACAATCTGAACTTCTGGACCGTGCATGTTTTGGTCAGGTTATTATGACCAGCCAAAATGATACACACTGGTATGAATTTACATTACAAGAAGCTTTTTACTTGTGCTATACATTGAAGTGTTTGAAGATTGTAGGAGGCGATGGTGTTGTAAAACCTTATGAGAACCTGTGGCACTTCATGATTTCAAAAGTTGAAAAGTTTCCCGAGTATTTCAAAGCATATGCCCATCTAAGAATGAAAAATTGGCTAGTTAGGTCAGGATCCCAATACGGTGTTGATTATGTTGCTTATCGCCACCATCCAGCTTTGGTCCATTCCGATTATGCTGTTCTTGTACTGTCAGAAATAAATGGCATCTCCAGTGGACGGCTGAAGTTGTGGTCTGATTTGTATGGTACAATTCGGCTTTGTGGTGGTGTTGCTAAGACATTGCTAGTGTTACATGTTCTAGGCATCAGTAAAGACAATTCTCCAGTGTGTTTGGAGAATTATGAAATAGAACCGCGTATAATCTCTAGATGGATTCCAGAGAAAACTCGTGAAAAGAAAACAGATTCTAAAATTTGTAGTGAAGCTAAAACACATACTTGATGTTTGAAGTGCTATTTATATGATAACTATAGCAGCGTACATTGTTTTAGATTCTACTAAGGTATTATGCAACTTTTAGTCCTCTTTTAACAGGAGTACCAAAGAGGTCGTAGCACCCCTCTGTTTGGCATTGTTTGCATTGATCTTGTTTTCTATAATTTTCTAAGACAGCCATTCAACAGCTTCATTACTTGTCTGTCTATTGAGATCAACCTACATAGCCACAATGGTGCTCAGGTATTTTAGAATTCGATATAGATTGTCCTCATCAGGTATTCTCATAATAGGTCAGATCTCTAATTTGCCCTCTTCCATGGTGTACCACATTCATTTCTCAAAAATGTTGGTTACGTAGGTTTCTGAGCTGCACTAATGATATAGATTTGTCATAGAACATATATGCGTATCAGTCTCTGCTAATCGTTGTGAAGATTGTTTCCCATTGTCGGCATTAACTTTGTCGTTGCTCAAGCCAGCATATCAAGCTAGAGTGTGTATGAAATTGAAAGTTAAAAGATCATTTACAATTTAGGCAGAAGTTGGTTTGTAAGGAGTGGCGCATTGTCGCACATCCTTCAACCATCCTGTGCTTGAACTTTGCTACCCTCACATAACTGTTTGGATAAATCAAGGTCGTCATGATGTTGCCTAATGGACTTTTACACATTATGAACCTTTTCACCTTTAGATATACTGTAAAATATAAAGGGTAAATAAATAAAAAAAATAATAATAAAAAAAAAAAAAGCATCCACAGTGGTACAAGGTAAAATAATAGGGATGAACTTGACTGTAACATGATGCCCAATCATCGGAAACAAAACTGTATAATCTTTGACCTAGCCCAGACCAGGGCAAAAAAATTTCACGATATAGTACAAGAAATTCTCTCCTGTTTAAAGTCTCATCATACACATTTGCAATGCCAAATCCCGGAAAAAAGCTGTTAATTACAGGTATTAAGTTGTGAACAGAAGATATACAAGGCCTTTCAAATACTCGACTATTTCAGATCCACCAAGTTTTGAGCTTCCATATACTCTATCAACAAATGTTATGGGAACCTCTTCAATATGATGGCCTTTTCTTGAAGCTCTGACAATCATCTCCATTTGAAATACATAACCTTTGCTGACACAAGAGCTGATTAGATCTTCAAGAACAGATTTTCTGTAGAGCCGAAATGATCCAGTCAAATCTGAAACACCTGGCCAAAGAATAGTGTGTGCAAGTACATTTGCCCCCCTGCTTGTAAGCTTGCGCATAAGATTCCACCCATGTACACCACCACCGCTAACATAACGAGTTCCAGTTACTATACTTGCACCTGTATCCATCTGTTTCTTGATGAAACTCGGTAAATACTTCGGCTGTAAGAGAAATAAAAATAGAAAGTCAAGGCCGATTCAAGATTCTCAATACATAATTATTAATTAACACAGATAATTATGTCCAACAGCCAACCAGAAATTCCGCTGTCAAGCAAGGCCTTTTCCATACTGCAAGGTAATTGCAAAAGGTTACGACCCAATATATCTGTACTCAGCACTATTTGCTACTCTCTATAAACATGTTCCATTTCAAGTCAAATGGAAATACCAAACCTTCTTCCAAAAATACTCTAGCATGATGCTATATATGATAACAAACCAGAATTTGCAGCCTTTACAAACCAAAGATTTATCCAAGTATCTTTACCTAGGGGATGAGACGATTGGCTACATTTGGTAATTGTGTGGCTTTCCAGGACGAAAAAAATAAAACTGCACTCTAGCATGAAAGCTATGCTGGTTAGCTATATGACAATGATCTAGGATTTACGGTGTTAGAAAACAAAAGAATTTTCCTATAAATAAAACCAAGCAATATAGTGACTTAGTAGTTGTCATGCTAAAACATAATTAAATTCTAGAGATGAGACTGATTCACGGTAATAATCTGCACTAATGTCCACGTAGAAGGGAAAGAACGAAATTAATGTAGGCAAGGTAAACTTGAATCCAAACTGGATCTATATAACAAGCTATATTAGTTATAAACATACATACATGATGCGAGAGATCAGCATCCATAATTACAGCAAAATTGCCAGATGCATGCTTCAACCCATGAGCATATGCAGTTCCTGCAAAATCCATCGAATATGACATAGGTCTCTTCAATTTAACACCAACAACTCAACAAGTATAAACACCTACCTAGTCCAAGTTTCTTAGGTCTAGCTGCCAAAATCTGAAAGGTTAAGAAGAAAATAAGTGACCAGGACAATAGGAGTAACCAAAATTGAGCATGTAAGTTGAAGGAGCAGAAAATATTTACGACACTTACTATTTGACCATCCCCATATACTTGCTGCAATTGTTTAACAATTTCTTGAGTGCCATCTGGACTGCCATCATCCACGACAATTATTTCAAAGTCGATATCCCTAAATACAGGATACCACAAACACTATTGTGAACATTAACTTCAGAAAATTGCAAAGTGATATTGTCATTTTCCATGACTCCTCAAAAGCTCCACATCAATTAATAATTTTCTAGGTTCTCACATACAATTTATCATAAGATGAATATTAAGAAAGAAAGAAAGATTGATGCATGCAAAAAATCCGAAGCCAACAAAGCTTCTAAATTTTGGCTTGGCCATTAAAGAAATCAAGAAAGTCCAACAACTTTGGTAAGTGACAGCACAGATAAAAGCTGGGTAGTGTAATAGTACTATGGTACTACTCTGTCTGCCAGAATAATCATATGAATAAAACCAAGGAGATTTTCAAATTAAGATCTCTGGTTGTTTGTATCATCGTATGTACGTTTATCACATTTTCTGAGCAGAAATTACTTCTTGATCAAAAAGGGCAAGTAAAAGTGTTCCTAAGATAAGTTGAGCTCACTAAAAATTGCAACTTTACAGGAATTTAGGATCATAGTTGAAACTCTTGAAAAGCCTAATTTTCCACTTATTTTTATTTATGGGGGCATGCCTCTCTTACAGCTTGCGAACTATTTTTCTTCATCACCTCCTTTTCCTCAAGTGAAAAGGTGTATAGAAAAATCAGTTTTACAATGGACATTTAGCATCATCATAGCTTAGAGCTACTAAAATCCAAGACTCTCTTCCCTTCTCTGCTGGACCAGTATTAACTAAAGAAAAACAGGAAACATACAGATGAAAGAAGAACAGCAAATCGGAAAAGCATTACGTAGTCATTGGCGGACCTAGTTAATGTCATGGTGAGTCATATGACTCACCAGTGAGGCAAAAAAAAAAAAAATCAATTTATTTTAAAAAAAAAACCATCACCCTTTCGGACGGTCCAAGATGCCAGTAGTCACAATGAAAGAAAAAGAGGAAGACAGTCATGAAAGCTTTCCTCTCGTGCTTCTGTAAAGAGAAGAACCCTATCGGCGTTAGACCGGGTTACGGAACTGACGGAAATGGAAGTAGATGTTTTGGGGGCAAGTTGAGTCTTGGAGGACTCAAAAGGATGGCTGCCATTGAGCCCCGGATGTAGGTGAGGTCTAGTGTCATAACCTTGATGGGGAATTATAGAAGCGTTGGAATAGGAAGGTTGATGGCCTTGATGGGGATACACGGCCAGCTTTGGAAAAGATAATAAGGGTTTGGTTGGTTATAAGGGAGGGAAGCAGGATAATGCTTCAAGTATGGGAGGAAAAGCTTAAAATTTAGATTTAGAAAGTTTTCACATTTGGAAAGGACTAGTCATTGGAAGTTCAGGCTTTTCAACGTGAAGTGTCTTCACCATGTGTTTTTTTTTTTCTTTTTAATTTTCATGGATTATATATTAATAAATGTAAGTTCATAGTTTTCATTTAAATTTCACGGCTTATTTAATAAATTTTGGTTCATAGCTTACGGGCTAATACACACCCACGGGCGGATTTGGATGTTGTCCTGGTGAGTCATATCACTCACTAGTCTACCCAAAAATAAATTTATTTGAACATTTGGTTGTATTTTATACTTTTTGAATATTTGGTTGTATTTTTAGTATTATTATTTGATTGTTTGGTAAAAAAAATTTATTACATGTTTTATTATCAATTTTGACTCACCGGACGAAAATTCCTAGGTCCGCCACTGTACGTAGTATACAACATGTAACAAACCACATAGTTTACATTAGACAGCTTCAATTTACAAGGAAGATAACTTAATACAAACTTAATCATATGAGTTATATTAACATGTTCTTTTTTATATAACTGACATCAGTAAGTATGATCCGTCATACAATCTTAGCTTATCAGCATGGCAACAATTAGGCTGATAACTTCTTCCCCTCACCCCTTTGCAATAACACTGAGCTTCTGGCAGAACCAATCAACCAATTTCTGTAACAATAAAATTCTCCCCTAAATTTACAGGTACAAAATCAAGAACAAAAGGTACCAGCATACCACAATTACAAATGCAGCAATTAAACTCAACCAACTAGTTTTCAATCATCAAAACGGAGCAACAACAACCATCAACAATCTATACACAGTGAACTCCATTTGACATCCTAAAGATCATGAATCTAATCCTGAACCGCCTTACAGAGTCCCACCCCTGAGACTGTTGTCAATACGAGTACCGAATCCAAGATGCTGGGAGGGTACACTTAAATGTTTCAATATTCCAAAACACAAACAACTATAAACCCGGATTTTCGATAACAGATTCAACCTGGAAAGAAAATAATGCCCACCACCCGCCTCTTCTCAAATTTTGTACATGTACAATTAAAAAAAATGGCCTCAACCCCTCAAATTCAATATCAGACATCCAATAATCCTCAAAGTTCTCTTAATTACTTGCAACCCTAATTCCCTCAAAAACAAATAAATAAATAAATAACAATAATCCCATCAAAAGTGTTATGAGTTCATCAATGATCACATGACGATCTAATTTCTAATCAGATCAACAACCAAAATTACACAATTCCAGCAACTAAATCTCAATTGATACAAATTTACATGAATAAACTGTAATACAACTTCTAAATTAAAAATTGCGCAGAATTTTTCTATAACTAAAACCAAATCAAGGAGAAATTAGAAAGACGAAAAAGGGTCAAG